TATGAAACAGTAACTCCATATTCTTTGTACAATAAATAAAAATGTAAACACAAATATTACAATACATAAATAGAAGCTTTATACATCCAAAATACAATACATATATAAAATATATATCTAAATTTAATGACACTACAAACTATAATTTTCACTATAAATTACATATTTCAATGTAGAAATATATTTTTCTGACATTTTAAACTTCAAAAACAACTTGTAAGGTGATAGTGTGGAGAATAGTTTTATATACAAAGCTTTGAAGTAGTTAATTATACCTAATAATGGAAGGGCATGACTGTGTATGATAATATGAAGAAAAATATCTCAATTATGGCAAAAGTACTATTTGAGTAATTCAAAGATACAGGGTTCCATTTCTCGATAGATGGTAAATACTTTTATTTTAAAAGGATTCAAAGGATTTTGAACATCCTGATGTTTTAAGCATCAACTCTATGGAGCAGACTGAGTCAAACTGTGGGCTTTTCATAGTCAAATTGCTATATTACTACCCCATTTTATTGCTTACAAAAATTATTTTTCCAAGGCAAAATGTATTTTAACATGAAATAAATTACCACATCTCAATATTCCAAAGCCTGTATGATAAAATAAACCTTCACTTTATATACATTAAAAATTGGCCTCATATGTGTGTGTGTGTGTGTGTATAACTGGACAAACTAAATAACTTAATTGGAGTCAGAATTGAGGACATGTATTTCTCCATCCAAAGGGTGAAGAAAAGTTACAATGTTGCCTAAGAACACTTTACTAAGTAAGTGCCAGAAGGGCTGGAGTTAATACAGTACTGGTATCTGCCTATTTTATGCTTTTTGACCAGCTGTATTAGTTATTTAAGGAGAAGTTTTTAAATAACTATTATAGGAGACAGGTAATTTTAAAGCAACTTGAGAGAATTTATCTTTCTGAAAGTTGGTATGTAATGTTTATACACATATCTACAATTATGTTAGGGAATTTCTGAAGTCCTTAGGGTAATTTTTCTTCTCAAATTTGCATAATCTTTCCAGTAAAGAGTACACATTGATTTAATACCTGTTATAACTCTACTTACTTTCAGAAAGCATATTTGTTCTGTAGATTATAAGGACACTGGTTTACAAATATAATCTGTATTTATATCTCATTTCTGTATATTCCATGCTATATAATAACTTTAACACAGCATTTTGTTTCATATTTTATCCTTTAAATAAAGCCTGCTATGGGGGGGTAAATGTATACTCTGATTGAAATGTTATGTTTAAGTGTATTAGATATATAGAGAGTATATAACAATTCAATTGCTACTGATCCACTGATACTTATTTTCTGTTTCATCTTTTTGGGCTCTTTGTTCTTCTCGGTGATTGGCAGCAGTCCAAAATGTGATTTTTTTGAGTACTTGTTGGAGAAGTTTAGGAGGTAATAGAGATATTTGGCTTTTTAAAATAATAGCATTTTTACCAATACAGTCTAGGCATGACCTGTAAATAAAACATAATAGAATTATTAGTTGATTTTTATATCAGTTTTTTAGTTGTAGATGGACATAATACTTTTTAATTAATTAATTAATTATTTTAAGAGAGAGAGGAGAGAGACACAGAGAGAGAGAATTTTTAAATATCTATTTATTTATTTATTTTTAGTTTTCGGCAGACACAACATCTTTGTTTTTGTATGTGGTGCTGAGGATCGGACCCAGGCTGCACGTATGCCAGGAGAGCGCGCTACCGCTTGAGCCACATCCCCAGCCCCTAATTTATTTATTTTTATGTGGTGCTGAGGATCGAACCCAGGGTATCACATGTGCCAGACAAGTGCTCTACCACTGAGCTATGACCTCAGCCCAAATTATTAGTTTTATAACCTGAAGATATAATATAAAATATTTACAGTTTTTTTTTGTGTGTGTGTTGGGAGGCAAGCAATCTATCATTGAACTAAACCCCTAGTAAAAATCATTATAAAAATTTTACCTGACATTGTACTTCCTTTATATTGTCTGGAACATAAGAGGATTTTTTTCCCCTAAACACTATAATAGTCATGTATTTTTATTGCAGAGAGATTGTATCTGACCCACATCCAATGGAAACCAAAAATATGTGTGTGTATACATAAATTTGATTCACACACACATATTGGGGATTAAACCCATGGGTGCTCTACCACTGAGCTACACTCCCAGCCCTGTTTTAAATATGAATATATATTTTTTATATTTATATAAACGTATAAATATAAACAATGGGATGATCCCACAGTTCGTTAGATCACGTGATGTGAGAAGAGTAATTGTGTCCTATTGTATCGCAATTACAGTAAGTATTAAATGTCTCCTGACTTAAAATAAAAAGAATATGTTGATGCACTGTGGACAAGAAATTATGTCAAGATAACAGACTTCACATAATAAACACAACTAAATTTGTGCTATATTTGAGTTCTGATATATTAAACTATGCTTAGCAACAAAAAGGAATATACCCAAGCATAGAGAGGCACTGCACTCAGTATCATGGATGACACAAAGAAGCCAAAAGACTGGTGGTCACCTTTGTTTAGCCTGAAAGGCAAGCCCATCCAGTTGTCTACTGTTTTACTTTATCTCATTTCTATATTGATTCATTTCTGTTGCACCACCCTGGCCAAATTCAAACTGTGGATAAAATGAGTCAATCATCTCTCTGCACCTGTGATCTGGCTGCTGAAGAAAACTGTTTCTGCAGATGTGTTACCTCTACATATCAGTTATAGTCTATCTGAGCTGAGCATTACTCTGTTAAAAAATATCCTTGTTCAGCATCTTCTTGTAGTCATCTCAGTACCTTTTCAAATCTCCACCATCTTTAAGTTCATATATTCACCTCTCTTTTCTCTTACCAGATGACCTCACTTTCAACTAAAACTTTCTCAATACCCTCTCTCCAACCAATAAATATTTGTCTTTATACCCATACTTTCTTCCTTCTCCTCCATTTTAAAAAATATTTTGTTTTAGTTATAATTGGACACAATACCTTTATTTTATTTTTATGAGCTGCTGAGGATCAAACCCAGCACCCTGCATGAGCTAGGTGAGCGCTCTTCCCGTGAGCCACAATCCCAACCCCTTCCTTCTCCTCTATTTTAAAAGAAAAGTATCATTCCTCCAGTCAAGGCTAATTTGACTGTTTGCTAAAATTTACTTCCTTAAGACTATGCCAATTTTTCCTTCAATGTTTTGTGCTTCCAATAACTTAATCCCTAATGGCTTCTTCTCATCACTATATAAACAAATACTCTCCCTTTCTTATCCATGCCATTTAATTTCATTTCATGTCTTTCCATGTGGGCACTCAAATACTTCTTAATCCTTATATATGAAGAACTTGCAAACTAGTTAGGGAAAGTAATAGTCAGAGTAAAAGTTGAGTATTAGTATAAACCATCATATTTATAGCAGTCATTTCCAAACTTCTGCATATCAGAATTACCTTGAGATCTTTAAAATTAATCTCCAAAGTACAGGCCACACCCTACACCAATTAAATCAAAATGACTGGGGGTAGAACACTGGTATCAATAGTTTTTGAAGCTCCCCATGAGATTCTAATATGCAGACAAGTTTCAGAACTATCACACTAAGCCAAGGAGCAGTCAAGAAAGACCAAGAAATCTCAGTTTGAGCTAGTCTAATGTTTTTTCAGTGATTCAAGTTGAAGAACATTTGGAAGTTATAGTATACTCCTTGAAATACTGCATGTCATCTCTTTCTCTTTCTCAACCCCTCATATGCCTTCACCCATATTATTCTCACTGCATAAAATCCACATCTATTTGCTGGGCAACTTTGACTTCTTTTAAGTCCTTCTTCCCAACTGTCAATAGGCAGGAAAAAATAGGGGCTTTTCCTACAATCCTCCCAGAAAACTCTGTACATACATTTTGTGTGTGTGTGTGTGTGTGTGTGTGTGTGTGCGTGCGTGTGTGTTATTGAGGATTGAACTCAGGGCTTTGCACATGCTAGGCAAGTGCTTCACCACTGAGCTATATCCCCATCCCAGTTTTGAAACTTGATTTTGAGACAGAGTTTCACTAAATTTTCCAGGTTGACCTTGAATTTGCAGTCCTCCTGCTTCAGTATTCCAGGTAGTTGGGATTATAGTCTACTGCATCAGCCTTGTATATTGTTATGGTTTAGATATTAGGTGTCTCCCAAAAGCTCATGTGTGAGAAAGTTTAGAGGTGAAATGACTGGGATATGAAAACCTTAACTTTTTCAGTGCATTAACCCCCAATAGGAATTAACTGGGTAGTAACTGTAGGCAGGTAGGGTATGGCTGGAGGTGATGGGTCATTGGGGGACATGCCTTCCTGTACACATTTTGTCCCTGGAAAGCAGAGCTGTCTGTCTCTGCTTCCTGGTGGCCATGTCCTGAGCTGCTTTCCTCTACCACATTTTTCATACCATGCTATGATGTTCTGCCTGTTGTTGGGCCCAGAGCAGTGGAGCAAGCCATCTGTGAACTGAGACCTCTGAAACTGTGAGCCCCAAATAAAGTATTCCTCCTCTAAAATTATTCTTGTCAGGTTTTTTTGGTCACAGCAGCAAAAATGCTGACCAAAACATACATTATCTATTTATATTTTTCTTTTTGTGCTATAAGTGCTCTACCCCTGAGCTATATCCCCAGACCTATTAACTAATTGATTAATTTTGATACAAGGTTTCAAGCTGTCTAGGCTGGCTTTGAACTTGTGATGCTCCTGCCTCAGCCTCCCAAGCAGCTGGAATTATAGGCATGTGTTACCTTGACCAGCTACATACTCCTTTTTAGATTAAGAACATATGAGACAAGAAAGTATAAGTCATACCACCAATTTAATAATGGCTTTGAGGTTT